CAAACACTATATTAATTGTGTGCAGTGTTTGAAAAGAGTCTAGAGGAGGTGAGGTGAAGGCCATACAATTTTTATCTAGTTTGTGCATTTGGGATGTGAGAAACATCATGTGATATATCAGAAGTGCACAGTGGGGTTGAAAAATGAAAACTGAGCATTTGTCCTACTGCTTTGTAAAGCTCAGTAGCACAGACCTGCTTGGAATTATCTGCCCAAAAGACAAGCAGGAGACAGGTCATGAAGGCTTTATGTCCTAAATTAAATTCCTAACAGTAGGAATTACAGACTAAAAAATAAGTTTTCATCCTTATTTTCCTGTTGCTGAAGTTTTAATTTGCAGCTACATGGAAGTCTTCTGCTTTATTCTGACTAGTCAAAATGCACACTCTCATCTTACTTGAAATCAAATTATTTTAAGTTATGGGGACAAAAGCAGTCCCAAACAAGATTTGGCTGTCATTGCTCAAAATGCTGAATGTACAAATGGTATGATAAACTCTATGCTTTGAGGAGGTTAAAATCTGAATAGCACTGACATATGGTTTAAAGGATTAAAAGAAACACTGTTATCTCCATTATACAGATGGGAAATTGAGGCACAGAAAGAATAAAAACTTGCCCAAGGTTAAATAAGAAATCTCATCACATACAATCTTCCTCTCTAGTGTACCTCAGTATAAATTTATGGTCACCTAATAAAGAAATGTGGTAGTCATTCACATAATATACTTTATCATAGGAATCTTTTGCCTTGTCATTATTTCTAAAGTAAGTTCAAACTAAAAACACCAATTTGTTCTGAACACAGCTTAGTGATCCAGCTAAAAGCATTACCCGTGTCAACTGGATAAAGCAAAACAGCCCTTATTCTTTGAAATACTTTATTTACAACTAGGAAATTTACAAAGGGTCCCTTTAGAAGCTAGGATTTCTCTTCTCTTTTTTCCAATCTCCAATATATTGTCACTTGTTTTTCCTTTGGATGATAGAACTAGGGAAGTGATCGTCCCTTGTGTCCCTTGTGTGAGGCCACACCTCAAATACTGTGCTCAGTTTTGGGCCCCTCATTACAAGAAAGACATTGAAGGGCTGGAGCACGTCCAAAGAAGGGCAACGAAGCTGGTGAAGGGTCCAGAAAGCAAGTCCTACGAGGAGTGGCTAAGGGAATTAGGATTGTTTATCCTAGAGAAAAGGAGGCTCAGGGGAGACCTTATCACTTATCTACAGCTACGTGAAAGGAGGTTGTAGCAAGTCTCTTCTCCCAAGTAACAAGCCATAGGACAAGAGGAAACTGCCTCAAGTTGCACAAGGGGAGGTTTAGATTGGATATTAGGGAAAAATTCTTCACCAAAAGGGTTGTCAAGCATTGGAACAGGCTGCCCAGGGCAGTGGTTGAGCCGCCATCCCTGGAGGTACTTAAAAGATGTGTAGATGTGGCACTTAGGGACATAGTTTAGTGGTGGACTTGGCAGTGTTAGGTTAATGGTTGGACTTGATGATCTTACAGGTCTTTTCCAACCTAAATGTTTCTATGATTCTATGTGCTTATGAAGGACACTGCAAAAGTATGTACGCTCCAATTAAAGAAAGCAGAGTCCATCACAAAGCTGTCTGGACTATTCTGGAAAGGATACAAAGTTAAATTAAATATTCTTGTCTCAGAAGCTGTCACCCCAGAGGAAATCTGTGCCATTGACTTGGTATCAGCTGTGGTTTACTGCACGTGAGCATGATGGATGTGGCTCCCTTACTACAGTGGATTAAAGCAGAAAGAGTTCTGTTGATGTCTAGACTTGTAGCAGGAGCAACACAGCAAGCAGGTGAGGAGAATGAGGTCCTTCCACTTCTGGAAGATAGTGTTACACTTCAGTGATGAGTTGACAGGAGGAAAATTCCCATATTCATACATGATAAATCACACCAGGACCACAGTGCAAAGCTCACAATCTTCCAAGCTTATTAACGATTTCAGCATTTGCTTTAGAGGCAGTCAGAGTGTCAGGAGAGGTGAATCATGTTGGCAATATCTAAGGTAAAAGATCAGGAAGTTGCTTCTAAGCACCCTGAACAAAACACTTTCTTCCAGCCCTAGACAGCAAAGTCCCTGTTCCCACTCACACAAATAAACAAAGAGCCAGATTTGGTTCAACAGTTTCTCTAGCTTCCATCACACTCAGATTCATTCTTGTCTCCTTGTCTCAGCAATGCTAATTGCTCTAGATACACAACCCAGAAGGTTACATCCTTCTTGCTTAGAAGTAGCTCTCACTAATCCTTATTCAATCAGAAAAATAACTGCATATGTGAGAATTAACTGTGCACCCTCTGTTAATTATTCACCTGTTGTGACAGGAGCTATGTTTAAAATGAAAAAGCTGGGTTTACTGCTCATTCCCTTAACATTCCCGTCCAAGATAAGAAGAAGGAAGTACTGCTTTTAAATTATCTCAGTGTCTTGCTCACATTGATTTTTTTTTGCTATGAACTCAAATTCATTCTTTAAAAGGTGAGCTTTTCTGAGAGTAAGTCTCTGCAAACTTATTTTCAACAAAGTGCACTTTAACAATATCCCAAGACAGTAATGTCTAGATGTTATCCCTACACTATGATCCCAACAGTCTGATCTACCCAACACACATGCACTGTGAGGATATCACTGAAAAAACAGGCTGCACATTACTCAGACAAGCTAAGGGGCAAGGACTAACATATTGATTTAAAAGCTTTCTGAAGATAAAAGTATTCATAACTATTTCTGAGAACACCTAATTCGTGTCGTGGTAAAATAAGTACTGAATGTCTAATTTGGGTTTTTATACTATTAATATACACATGATAGCATGAAAACCCTTTGCTTTGCATGAGTCCTACCTTATCACTCACAGCATTTGTTTCTAAAAGTTAGCATTCAATTATTTTGAAATGCAAACATCAAAAAAAATGTTTACTAATACTGGACATATTTACAATTTAATTTGTTCTAAATTCTCCCCATCACAAATGTGCAAGTGCTTCTCAGCAGCAGCTAAGGGCACTCAGAACCTCCCTGACAGCACCTAGCACCTATAATAACATAGGTAATAATAAAAGAATAAAGCACCTGACACCTAATAATATAAGAACAAAGCACCTGACACCAAAAAAAAAAGCTTTTTGAATGTCAGTGAAAGACAGTCATCTCAATTAGAACGTTAGCTATTTCGCAGAGCGTACCAAGTCTGTTTAACAGTTTGAGACAGAAAAGACAGACATGCAATTCATATACCTCCAAAGGTCAGCAGGATACAATGGTCCAGACCACAAAGTGGGAGAGTATCACCTTACAGTATTCCCCTGACTTGGAATGTAAATCACTTCTTTAATTATCATACAAGATCAGATTACAGCATTGTGCCTCCTGATGAAGAAAGTCTAACTGCATAAGCCCATAAAAATTTCACAGGATTAATATTGTATATTACTAGCTGAAAGAAAAACTATTATGAACTAGAATGCCATCTTTTGTGCCTTCCACCCCAGCAGCCTACCAAGATCTCAAATGGAAGATCAAAGAGTATTTCAACATTACAAAAAACACAGCCCTGAGTGGTGTGAGTGTTATATAAAAATTCAGAAAAAAAAAAAAGCTCAACTAGCAAAAATGTCTTCATGGTATCAACAGCTGCATCATGTCATTTGGGCCAGAATCAGAGAGGCTTTCAAGCTGGAAGAGACCCCGTGAGTTGCCTGGTCATTCAAGCCACGTTGCTCATGGCTTTACCCAATTGAGGTTAGGTACCTCCAAGGGCAGAGACTGCACACAGATTGCCTCTTTCAGAAACCTGTGCCTCTGCCTGACTGTCCTTATGGAAAAAAATACCCAGTCTGAACATCTGCTGTTTCACCTTAGGTCCGCTGCCTCTTGTCCTCCCATGCTGCACCACTGTGAAGAGCCCAGATCCCTCTCCTTGAGGACCTCCTCTTAGGCACTGGGGGCTGTTGTTAGGTCCTCTCAAAGCCATCGCTGCTCCAGGCTGAAAAAGCCCAGCTCCCCCAGCCTCTCCTCACAGGGCAGGTATGCCATCCCCCACCATCTTAGTGGCCTCAACTGAACTCTCTCTGGTTTATCAACTTCTCTGTAGTTTTGGGCTCCCAACACTGGATTCAGTAATCCAGATGTGGTCTAATGAGTACTAAGTAGATGGGAATAATGAGTCCCTTCGATCTGTATCTCTGCTCCTGTTCATACAGCCCAGGCTGCCATTGCCACCTTCGCTGCCAGGACTTGCTGCTGGCTCGTGTCCCGTTTGCTGGCCACCAGGACACGCAGGGTCTTTCCTGCAGAGAAACGACTGCAAGAACTCTCCATTTTCAAACTCCATGATAGCAGCAGAAAAGCAGTAAAACTTACTAACAACTTGGAAGGAGAACAAGCTGAACACATCAGAAGAATGGATTCAAATAACCAGCTACCTAATTTTGACACCTACTGAAACAGTTGCACTTCAGTGATGGATGACATTGTCTTGACATGCAACATTTCTAAAAGTTTATTGCAGCAAGCATTCTTCAATATGAACATAATTTTCCAGAATGTTTCATGTCTCAGGTACATCCTGCTCTGTGTTTCTCAGACCCTCTATCCATTGGGCCCATAGATGACAGGAGTATCTGTTGTTCTGTAGAACCCTCATAAAACCACTTGAGATAATTCCAAGACCAAGGCCTGCACAGATGCAAGCCCATGTGGACTAAAAAGCCTTGGGAACTTCTCTAATGACTAGGTATTGCTCAGTACACTTCCACTGCCACCACTGAAAAATCAGTCTGAATTGTCTCAAAGGCACAAAATATATGTAGAAAAGCAGACAAATATGGTAACAGTACGCTGATATGTAGCTGCCTACATCCTAAATTTCCTTTGTTGGAGCAAACATTCCTTGGTTTGTTGTCGGTATTGGGATGGTCAGTAAACTTTCCTTCCAACTAAAGGAAACAAATTCCCTTGAAAAAATACATACCAAGTACATTAGCCGTACACTGGAGAATTCCTGAGACATCTTCGGCTTCTTCATTGCCAGAGCAGTCTGTATACGAACATCTGTTTGATATATTGTGAAAGTTCTTCTCTGCATCCCTGTAACTACAGTTAAAAAAAATGTAAAAAAGTTATAGTGTCTCCTTATATAAATGCAAGGTCGACAAACGTCTTTCAGCAGTGGTGATAAATAATGCCTTTAGCCTCATCTCCTCCCTCTTCTCCCCTCCATCACCTCATTTCCATTTGTGCATTATCACACACAGATGACACTGCATTAGTAGCCTGGGTATCTCAGGTATTATACTAGAATCTCGAATATTATCTGTAATGAAAATGAAGACGTAAGAAAAAAATAGTATCAAAGGGCTGAAGCATGAGGGAAGGGTATCACATATCTGTCATATATCATTCCGACTGGGGTGTTGTCTATAACGAAGTTGTAAAAGCAGGATGTTTATGAAGCAATGCTGAGTATGTAATAAGAGTAATATATTTTCCACATCACGTTACATTAGCACTGCAAGTATAAAACCTAGATTTCTCTGTGAATTATCTTTTGAAAGCATCTCAGCAGAAAGATGTCAAGCTGCAATTCACTATACTATCAAGAATAAAGTTTATGTTATAGACTGTTAAAGAAAAATTAAAAAGAATCCTACCACTGATGAAAGGCACAGAGCTATGGTCCAACAAGCAAGAAAGCAGCTACCACCTAAATTATTCTATTTGATTTGGTTTGGCTGGATTGTTTTTCCTTAATTCAACAGAAACAGAACAGAAGCTGAAACTATGTTTAAAACAAAGCTTTATGCAGGTGATAATGAAAACAGAAGAGGGAATACAAGTGAAGAAAATAGTGCAGCAGAGTGATAATGCAATTGGCAAAATACGCAATCAATTTAGCTCAATGCACAAAGAAAAGCTCTTCTAATGAGTATTTTATTAACAGTTTTGTTATGCTTTCATACTTTGTTTATACTTCATAAATCATGAATAGCAGTTTTAAGGATTAGACTCTTCATCTGGTTAATGTCTGTAAAATTTCAGCACCCGTTTTGCCAGCACCTGTGGAAAAGGACTAGAAAGGATTCAGAGCTGCACATCAGGTTACAGCCCAACAGGAAACTGGTTCTCCACATGGACTAAAGCATATTGGGAAGAGTGGGCTCATATTAGGTAAGGAAAACCTCATGGTAAGGGCTGCTGGTGCGTTCTGCGGTGAGCTGCGTGGTCTGTACAGCTTCCCAGATGCCCAGCAATGCCAAGCCATGCACCTGGCAGGAGGCCATGCCCTTGCACACTGCTCAAGATGACCCAGAGCCCAAAGTCACGGCCCAGTCTCACCGCCACTCCAGGAGGCCAGGCCTCTTCAGCCAGTGTCACTGACTCCATGAATGACACCACAGCCACTCCACACCTCTGAACTTGAGGTTCAGCAAGGCCCAGAGCTGGGTCCTACACTTGGGTCACAACAGCTCCATGCAATGCTACAGGCTTGGGGAAGACTGGCTGGAAAGCTGCCCAGCAGAAAAGCACCTGGAGGTGTTGGTCTACAGCCAGCAGAATATGAGCCAGCAGTGTGCCCAGGTAGCCAAGAGGGCCAGTAGCGTCCTGCCTTGTATCAGAAATAGCGTGGCCAGCAGGACTAGGGAAGGGATCGTCCCCCTGTACTTGGCCCTGGTTTGGCTGCACCTCAAATACTGTGTTCAGTTTTGGGCCCCTCACTACAAGAAAGACATTGAGGGGCTGGAGCGCGTCCAAAGAAGGGCAATGAAGCTGGTGAAGGGTCCAGAAAGCAAGTCCTGTGAGGAACGGCTAAGGGAACTGCAGTTGTTTATCCTGGAGAAGAGGAGGCTCAGGGGAGACCTTACCACTTGTCTACAACTACATGAAAGGAGGTTGTAGCAAGGCAGGTGTCGGTCTCTTCTCCAAGTAACGAGCCATAGGACAAGAGGAAACTGCCACAAATTGCACAAGGGGAGGTTTAGATTGGGTATTAGGGAAAAATTCTTCACCAAAAGGGTTGTCAAGCATTGGAACAGGCTGCCCAGGGCAGTGGTTGAGCCGCCATCCCTGGAGGTATTTAAAAGATGTATATGTGGACATGGTTTAGTGGTGGACTGGGCAGTTGGACTTGATGATCTTAAAGGTCTTTTTCAACCTAAATGTTTCTATGATTCTCTGATTCTATCTTGACTGGGATGGGAGATTTGATGAACATTTATGTTGTATCGGGTGTCCGCACCCAGGTGCTGGCAGTGGGTGCTGCAGAGGACCCTGTGAAGAGGGGCCAGGGCTGCTCTGCACTGGGCACAGCTGGTTCCAGCCAGCTTCAATGGCCCCATCGCAGGGCACAGCTGAGCCCCTCAGCCAAGTGGGTGGTGCCTCTGGGAAAATTAATTTAAGAAAAGGGAAAGCACCTCATGGAGGTGTGAGGCGTGAGGAAAAGAACAGAGAGAAACAGCCCTATGAACACCAAAGTCAGTGAAGAAGGAGGGGCAGGAGATGCTCCAGGTGCTGGAGCAGATATTACCCTGCAGTCTGTGATGAAGACCATGGTGAGGCAGGCTGTCCCCCTGCAGCCCACGGAGGACCACGATGGAGCAGATCTCCACCTGCAGCCCATGGAGGACCACCCAGCAAAGAAGGTGGATATGCCTTGAAAGAATCTGCAGCCTGTGGAAAGCCTGGGGCAGAGTAGGGAAGCAGCGTGAGGAGCAGCAGAGAGGAGCTGCTATGGACTGACCACAACCTCCATCCCCATCCCCCTGCACTACTCAGGGGAGGATGAGCCAGAGCTGTCGGGAGTGTCTTTATCTCAACCCACAAGCTTTTTTCATCTTATTTTCTCCCCCTGTCCTGTTGAGGAGGGGTACCAAGAGAGCAGAGCGGCTCTGTAGGGGTTTGGCAGCTGGCAAGGTCAACCCACCACAGTGTGTACCAACAGTAATGATCACCGGGGAGGACAAATACAGGACATTTGCTAGAGACAGATGCTACTTTAACCAACTCATACTGATGTTCAAAAAGGTTAAGTCAGTGTATCATAAGACACATGAATTACAGGTTTTCAGAGCGTTCCAGTTTTAAACTTACATCTAAGCCACACGTGGCCACAAATAAAAAGCTGCATTGTTATAGCACACATGCTTTCTTCAGGGCACTGTATCATCCTCTGAAGTCTCCTAATGTGAGATTTCAAGCAATTTTTTCAGCAACTAAAAAAATTAGCAGCCAGAAGGCTTCTCCCCCTGCCTGCCCCATAGCAGACATCACAACTACCTGACAAGAATGGCCTACTCGCTGCCCTCAGGAGCCAGCCAGACTGCTAATATTGCAGATATCAGCCACCAAGCTAGGGCTCCCTGTCAATTTTATCCGAACATTGAGAAACAGACAAGGACAATTCCCTCCAGTGCACCAAAATCTGAAACTATGTCATAAGTTCTTAAGAGGTGGCTTTCAGCCCTGCTTCTGCAAAAACCTGGAAGTATGTAACTATCTATGTATGTAACAAGCACTGATGCAAGATTTTGCAAGATGTGGACATCAAGTCATAGTATAAGTAACTTTTTTAGCACTCTCAGACAGCTCTGTGAAAAGCAAAACAGAATAGATCTTATACTTTTACAGAAAGATTCCATATTCTCCTTATATAGGAAACGTAACTGTTAATGGAGCAATCGTGCTCTGGTGAGGTTACATAGAAGCAGGATTGGACAGCAGTTTATCATTAACATCCATGGTATGTATAGTTACTCCAGAGCATTTCTAAGAATTTGAGAGAAAAGTAAAAAGCTTGTCATGCAAGGCTGTGACTTAGGAAGCACGGAGCAAAACATTACTGTGTACCTTTCACTACCTCACATTAACACTTACCCAATAACTTGATGCTCAAAATACTGCAGTGTCCTTTGAAGAGTTTGCCGAATGGTCTGAGGCTATGGAAGAATTAAAAAAAAATGTAAGATTAGGGAAGGATAGTACAATTTAAACAGATCTTTTAACACACTGTTTCTCTGCAATTTTACACCTCCTCATCTTCTACCTGCCAGATGCCCATTGCAACAATGGATATGAAATATTATTCATTCCTTATATGTTACTTCACCACTTAACAATGTGACGTATTTAATACTGCTTACAAGACTGGTTGTGCATAACAAAGGAGCCTTCACTATTAGCTCTCAAAAACTATGACCCAATAATTATCTCATTAATTGAAAATAATTAATTTAAAGTAGTCTGCAAGAAAATGCTATAATTTTGTGATGAAAGTAACACCAGGAAGAGGCACTGAGGTTTTAAACTTTGCATGATCCCTAGAGCATTTTGTATTAAAGAATATTATACAGTTTCTTTTGGCTCACTTTCCTGACAAGCTATGACTCTCCAGTCATCTTTTACATTATTAGGAAACTCAAGTTCATCAAAAGAAAATGATGACATGCTTCAAGCATTTCTATGCTATTGCATTTTAATAGGTGTCCACCAAATAACGTATGTGCATATATGTGCTTATTTGCATTACTACTACTACTACAGTGTTCAGCAAAATACGTATGTACATATATATTTTTATTTTCCTTACTATTACTGCTGCTGAGACTATTGTTTTGAATTAATTCATGAGAGATCTTTGTGTAAATAAAGTAAATGTGAAATTCATGTCATCCTCTTTTGATTTTTCCAAGTCACTTATGGCAAAACAACATTCTTCCAAAATGACTAGTTTGTACCAAATCTGAGGTTTTTCATCTGTCCATTTCTTCCTGGTGCCAGAGGTCAGACAAAGGTACACAATTGGGATTTATAAATCTTCCTGCTGTATCAGAGGCACACAGAGATATTTTGATCAGACTCGCAGCAGCAGACACTGAAATTTTAGAGATATTTAGTATTTCCCTACCTTTTGGAAAAGACATATAATTGTTTTGGAAAGTAATCGTTTAAATGCCCCTTAATTAGAGGAATTTCATTCTAAAACCTCTATCACCTTCGAAAGTCTCAGATTTTGCTTACTGCTGTATCAGTTCAGCAGCACAAGAGCCGAGATTTCTACCTGCTCTTGGTCCTGAGTTTACAGAAGGAGGCATTTGTTTTGCTGACTGTAGGAATGAAAAAGCATACCAGGCTGCACTGGATTTGTACAATTGTAAAAGTTTCTTTTTTAATACCAAACTATAAGAACATGTCTTCTGTTTTGAAATCAAATGTGTAGAAATGTATGCACTTAACAAATGCATAAGGGGGCTTACAAGAAAGAAGGGGACAAAATTTTTAGCAGGGCCTGTAGCAACAAGACAAGGGTTAATGGTTTTAAATTAAAAGATGGTAGATTCAGCCTAGATATAAAAAAGAAATTGTTTATGATAAGGGTAGTGAAACACTGGAACAGGTTGCCCAGATTGGCGGTAGATGCCCCATCCCTGGAAACATTCAGGGTCAGGCTGGACAGGGTTCTGAGCAACCTGATCTAGCTGAAAATGTCCCTGCTTATTTGCAGGGTGATTGGACTAGATGACCTTTAAAGGTCCCTTCCAACCCAAACGATTCCATGATTCTAAGAACAAAAATAAGCTCAAAAGAGATGTAAATCTTGAAACAGGTTTTTTTTTTTGTTAATTCTGTATCAGATGATCTCTTCTCTGTGGGAGCTAAGTTTCCTGTGCTAAAAGGCATTAAAAGTTATATATTCTCTTGCAAAACACAACGGAAGCTCCATATGAATGAAACCATCACATATCAAAAAACTCCTCTTCTCAGTGGTACAGCAGGTGTTGAAGTCCTTAGGCCTGATGAGCTACAAAAATATTTCATGGCATGTTTTCACAGAGATTCAGCATCTTTCCTGCGCTCAGCAGGCAGAAAAATTCATTCTTCACATAGAAAAGATGTATTTTCCCACACTAGCAATGAAGCAAAGCAAAATGTCTTTAAGCAAAGAGGTCCAGACAGCTGCCACCTCCCATCTCCATACAGCATTTACCTCAGCCCCACTCCCTATGCACAAAACATTAGTACTCCAGCAGTAACTCCTCTGACATGAAATAGGAAATGGTAGAAATGTTTGATTGTTAAATTAAATCTCCCTTCTGATTCTCTCAAAGTGCTTTTATAGCAAGTGTATGGCAGGCAGCAATATCTGGTACCACAGCAGAGAGGAAGGAAAATATCTTTTTATCTTCTCAGGTAGTTTTGCAGCTTATGACACATAAGCAATCCTCCATGGATTGTCTTTGTGTTTCTCATGCCTGACACACAGATGGTGCACTCCTTACCCAAGGAAAAATCCTTCTGAATACCCCAAGATTTGACCATACAAGCAACCTCCAAGTCCTGATCCTATTTCATCAGTAGACCTCCCTTCTCCTGCAGTGCTGAATGGAAAAATAAAATTAGCCCATGTTAACTCTTTCTTCTGAAAACTAAGTCAGCTGCCTAGCTGTTGTCAGACAATTTAATAAAATCCCATGAATGCACACCCCTTTTCATTGGCTTATCCTATCAAATCTTAGGAATTAAGTAGAAACAAAAAGTAGAATTTATGTTTAAAACACTGGTCATAAACAGAGCTCTGTGTAATGTTCTCATAGTATGAAAACTGACCTGAGGAGTCACAAACTCTTTCTTCATTTCCAACAAGCATTATTACAGTATGTCACTGTGCATGGTTAAAAAGCCACTGTGCTTATCTTCTCAGTTTGCTGGATTTTATCGCGGGTGAATGTCATTTTGCTATAGATGTAGTTCTGTAACTATGGCCATGACTAAAGAAAACATAGAGAAGAGATATGACACCTGCTTATGGATGCCTGCAAGGTTAGTGTGGTGTACTACGTCTTCCACTACTGACTATGCATTGCCCATGAGAGAGAGAGTGGGCAGGAAAACATTTCCACCTCTTTTCTGCATCCTGTGGCAAGACTGGATGGAGGCAAAATATCTAAATCTTCTCCTAGTGGCACGACACTGATCACCTCTCCAAGAAGCATAGTTCTGCCATTCAGGGAGACCAGAGGCTGCCTATAATAATATACCTCCTCCACCTCAATGTAAGTCTGTGCCAAGCAAGTACCCAGTGGCATTTTATCTACCGAAGAGGTTTTAAAGCTTCATGGCCACTCAAAATGAAAGATTTAATATAAATGTAAAACAGTGACCATTACCTAAACCAGTAAATGTTAACAATTCATTTTGATTATAATGCTTTACTAGTATTTCGTATGCAATACAAAAGGAATGGTCACATCAGTTCATGTTTCTAAGGGCAAATCAAATTACAACATGCCAGTATTGCTACTGTTAACTGCATATTGATCCAAGAATTGTCATACCAGATCATATCCAAGATTCATCTGGAATGACGATATATAAGGTAGAAGTCAACACTGAAAATATTGAGACTGATCTCTTGCACTGAAGAGGCCACAGGGCTTCCCTAAATTGATTCCGAATCCAGGTATCAGACCATAGCTAACCCTAGTATGTCAAAATAAATTGTAAAAAATCACAAAATCAATGAATCATACAGGTTTGAAGGAAGGTCTTCTACTCCAACCTCCCGCTCGAAGTAATGTGAGTTGCAACTGGTTGCTCAGGCCCTTCTCCAGACAAGTTTTGAGTGTCTCCAAGGATGGCGATCCCACAACCTCTCTGGGCAACCTGTGGCAGTGTCTGAATACCCTCATGACAATTTTAGGGTTTTTTTTCTTAATGCTGACTTGAAACTTCCCATCTCACAGCTTTTTTGCCTCTCATCCTTCCACTGTGCACCCCTGTGCAGTCTGGCTCCATCTTCTCTACACACCCTGATCAGGTAGCTGTAGACTGCAACGAGAAACCCCCAAAGCTGTCTCTTTTCAAAAGCTAAGCAGACTCAGCTCCTCCAGCCTCTTCTCAGCTGTCATGTGCTCCATCCTCTGACCAACCTGGTAGTCCTCTGCTGGCCCCAGTATCAATCCCTGACACATATGCGGAGGTAACTGGTTGCTAATTCAACTTTGTGACTCTGATGGCCACCTCTTGAGCCCTAACGTTCAATATCCCACCCTAAGGGTCAATATTCTACCCACCTTATCATGAGCACATGCCCATGGAGACCAAAGCTCTGCCAGCGCAACACGAGCCACACAGCCAGGGACTGCGTTACTAGATGTGTCTGCTCCAACCAGAACATTTCCCCCTCACCAGCAGGATTAAGGAGACATCAACTGTCACCTGCACCCTTTTCCCTTGCACTCAAAGCCGTGTAGTCACTCTTGATGTACTCAAGAACTCCTTGGGCTGTATCATCGGTGCCCACATGGATGAGCAGCAGGAGCCATGGTCCAGGAGACAAACGAGCTTTGTCAGTCTCTTTGCAACACTATATCCAAGCTCTGGGTGTCCTGGTTTGGTCCTGGTTGGCAGCCAACCACCACACAGCCGTGCTCTCTCCCTTCTCTTCCGGCAATAAGAAGGGACAGAGAGCCAGGCTTGGGGTTTGAGATAGGACTGGGATGGGGAAAAATCCCCCTTTATGAGCACGAGCAAAAGGCAGACTCGTTAGGGGAAGAAAAAAAGAACATATATTTATTACAGACACTAACAACACGTAACAGAGTAGGACAGTGAGAAGCATTGCCACATCTTGAGAACATCTTCCCCCCCACCCCTCCCTTCTTCCCGGGCTCAGTTCTGCTCCCGATATCTCTACCTCCTCCCCCAGTGGCGCAGGGGCAGGGAATGGGGGGTGCAGTCAGTGCTGCCACTTCCTTTATCTTCAGTGGGGGGAGCTTCTGGAACTTCTTCCCCCTGCTCCATCATGGTCCCCCTCTCACAGGAGATAGTCCTCCACAAACTTTCTCCAACATGAGTTCCTCCCATGGGCCGCAGCGTTCCCCACACTGCTCCGTCATGGGTCACTAACTTTTTCCGACTGGATTCTCTCCCACGGGCT